AGCCCCTGGAAAGCAACCACAGCTGGATGGCTTCAGCCGGGGGAACCCAGACACTGCAGCATGCAGCATGGCATCTCTTATGCCATTATAAAAGACACGTTATTGAGAAAACAGAGAAAGATAAACTTGTTGAGGAAATATTTTGTCTTTGATCTCCGAAAACAGTCATAGTAACCAGTGAACAGAATATGAAAGCTAAACAAGCACTTGCTATCACTTAGCTCACACACAAGCTTGCTAAAGCACCAGCCTGTTAATGTCCAAGCCAGTTCTTCAGCCTCATCATCGGACTGATGAGGCTGAGAGTCTGGCTCCAAAATAGCAGTAAGACACTTTGGACCTGTTTGTCATCAGTTTTATGTCAATGTAACATGATGAAGAGCCGTGGTATTACACACACAGAAAGTGTAGTAAGGCAGCAATAATTCAGGCATTTGGGGGGAAAACCCGCAAGAATAGTACAGAAGGTGCTGACCTCGCTCCCAGCCATGCTGTCTGGAGTCACACAGAGCAGGCAGCGCTCTGCTCCATTTGTGCGGGATCCTGAAAATTTGTCATCTGAACCTCTCAGTCCAAATTCTGTGAAAGGGCACAATCCGAACCTACAGCATTACTTGAGCAATTTCATTGGCTTTAAGGTCAGAAAGATGCCCTTATTTATCTCTCTCCCCACATAATGCACAGATTTTCAGCCAGAAATTCATAAAACAAGTAAATGGCAGGAAGAGCTAGAATGTATCTTTGAGCATGTCCACAAAATATTTTGAATTTTAATTATATTTGAAAATGAAAGCTTTCCTCCATTGCCAGATATATAAGTAGCCACACACGAATGCTACAGGGGAATACACAAGTGCTACTTTGTGCTATTCTGGTTACAATGATCACTGAATCCATGGGGAAAAAAATTCAGCATGGAAATTACTCTTTGGGTAATGGAACTCCTTTTTGAAGATCAGAGCCATAATGAATAGTTAATGCTATGAATTAATAAGCTATATTTAAAAAAAAAGAAAGCATATTTTTGAAAGCACTACAATCAAGTGTTTGTAACTAATTTAGGGGCTTTCAAACTTATATTTCTAATACCTAGGAGGAGATTTGTGCCCCTACTTCACTTACAGAACAGCAAGTTCTGAGGAACTGCATGTTACTACATGCACTTTTAAAGATACAATGGCTGCTCAAAGAACTGAAAGTTTCCAATTAAATATAAATTGCACCATAATATTCAACATGTTTCTTGCAGGTGCTCACACTGTACTGAAAGGACATAAAATGCCACCAATTCCAAATTATACCATATTATATCCAGTATACTCATGGGGAAGAAGGAGGACCAAAACCATATGGCTTTTGCCTAGAATTAGAAATATAGAGTCCCACTCTCCAGATATTCCAGCCAAGACCGCAGCCCCCGAAAGCTCTACGAACCATCCCCTGAGGGTGCTACACTCGTAAGACCTAAGGCCACGGCTACGCCCTTTCTGAAGTTTTCCCCTTTTTGAGGAAACAAGGGTGAATGGGAGGGTAAGAGGGACGATCACCTGTTCGGTCAAGTCCCTATATTGGGGCTATTTCTCCTCTCGGGTCCCTCACTCTAAATCAGGAATAAGTGGTGTAAGAGGAAATTAGTCTGAAACACATTTGTCTTGTGATGGCATGACGGCACTTTGTGGACTTGTAGTCAATTGCAGGGTGTTGTTGCTCCATATTGTCACTGGCTGGTTAACTGCAGGTAGACGACTTGGGTTTGCTACCGATAGCAGCCTGTGGGTGAGCAGGACCCCTGCTTTACATTTTCTTGTGCTCACTGCTATCCAAACTTCAGTGTTTGGGGGTAGAGAGGGAAGGTGGTGGAAATTACAGCTCATTGGAATTTTATATGGTCCATATAAAATATGATATTTTATATCCCTGGTCAGAGGGTTTCACGGCAGGAAGACAGCATGGCCACCTTCACTGGGTGATAAATAAAGCTCCTTTTTTCTTCTTGTGAGTTGGTTTAGCACCACACGTCGATCATGACTACTGCTAGGGATGCACACAACTTCTCTGGCGATTTTGCTTCCTTCAGCAATGACAACCTCAGAAAATAGTGTTTGTAAAAAAAGTCTGTATTTCAGTCAATGTTGATAATGCTGGAATTGACTTCTTTGGGAAGCTAATGTGTTTCCCCTGCATGCCTTTATTGGCTTAGACTGTTACAGCTTACTCACAATAAAGCCTCCTTCAGGAATCAACCAAAAACTGGCCAGAGTTTGGGTTTTCTTTCTTTCAGAGGATGCTGATTTAATGAAGCGATTTTGTAGAAATATATTCATATTGTCAAAATTATCTACACCAAAAAAGACTTATGATTTTTTATGTTATGTTTTGTTTTGCATTTTGAAAGGAAAATTAAAAGGCTATTCAAAGTATGTAAACAAGACTTTTTCAGTATTTCCAAAGTGAACATCTTTCCCTCTACATTCCAGTTTCTCAAATGTTTCAAAAAATGAATGTTTTTAGAAGTGTAAGTATCAGGATTTCCTAAAAATCAGGTGGTCTCCATTCCAACAAGCTCTGAATTTCCCTGAAATCAGCTCAGAAGCGGCAGCAGTTGCAGATGTGTCACTTCTATCACTCTCATTTTCTGCCATCAGTGTCAGCTCCTGACAATCCTACAAACCTAATCTGCTCTCCCTTGTTATTCGCATGGAACAGAAGTGCACACAAAGCATGAAACAGAATACATCGAGATAAAGGATTCATTTCCAGCCTTTTACAATTCCCTAAATGCTCTCTTTCTGAGGTATTTGAAAAGATTGTCGCTCTTCACCTCATCCCGTGCTGATTAAAGTGAGTGAGTGACTAAAATGCATGGGTGATGGGCTGGAATTACACTTTGTCCTACTACTTTGCCTCAATTTTTGCCATGGCAGGAATTTCTTGGTGCAAGAAGCATTTGAGACTGGAGCAAAAGCAGACAGTTTTATCATCTATTCTGATCTCCTGTGGCAAAAAAAGTATACCAAATACCTTTGAGCCAAGGAAATTTATTGCTTGGGATGAGAAGCATAGAAGCTAACATCTCAGGTGGCACAGGACTGAGGACGTGTTGTGCCTGGCGGCTTGATCCCAGAAAGCTATTAATATGTATAGAATAGCAGGTGGTGACTAAAATGGTATTCCTTTACATTGTAGTTTGGAGTAGACGCATCTGAGTTTGCAGCCACAGAGAGCGGAAATTGTTACAAGCCACACAAATGGATTGAGACATTCTGAAATAAGCAGCCACCATTTCATGCAGGGGAACCAGCCCAGTGTGTAGCCCCATATACCAGTCAAGGTGAGCCAGGAGATGAGGGAAGGCAGCTGGCAAAGGAGAAGGAGAGGGAAATCTACTCTTCCCAGGACACCTCAATGGATGCCAAGGAGAGTACCGTCTTTAATTTCAAGGACTTGGTTCCAGATAATGTTTGATCATTAATAAATTAAATCATTGATAAATTAAAAATTAAACCAGGAATAACTCTGTTCAAAAATATGTAGAAGTTCTGCTCTCTTCTACTTATTTTCACACAAGCCCCCCACATTGCAAAATCCAAACCTGCCTATCACTGAGACCTCTTAAAAGAGTGCTTTTAATTTTCTAAACTTCTAAGACTTTCCCTGCAGGGCAAAATACAACTTCGACTTCCTAGCGTCCACCTGAAATCATTCTCTGCCCTTTGAGTCGTCATTAGTACGTCATAAGCACGGCACTACAAAGCCTCCAGAGTAAGAAATGAGATGCCAAGTACATTGGATTAGAAAGTCTCAGCATCTCCTGGGGAGAAAACACACTACAGTAATTTGGAATAAGCAAAGGCCACATCACGTCCCATGGGTCCACACTTGCAGACAATTTCTACTCTTAGCTCTTCCCTGGAAGGGCAAAGGAGAGACGACTCGCTCTTTGCCTTCACAGAAGCATTCGGTGAAGCTGAGAAAAGGAAAGGCGGCCATGTGTGGCACAAACCATGCAATTATGACCTCCAGTCCTGTCCCACCAGCCTGCCCAGCATCGGGCAGCAAGAGAGGCAGAAGTGGGGCCGAAACGAGAGGGACCCGGGGTCTGAGCCGGCGTCCCCTTCCCAGCTGTCCTCGGTGGCGGGGAGCACAGCACCCTGGCAATGCCAGGAGTGGAGGGGAGAGCCTCGTACCAGGCACCGCGTTTCTGAAGGACAGCCAAGCTCTTCCTATCAAGCTGTAACTGGTTATTTTCTTCTTCAGAAAAAGTATGGATTTGGCGCTAGTAATGGCCACCCAAATAACTGGCTGTCTCATTACAGAAATATGCACATATCTGCTCTGGTATGTGTATTTGATTCCTACATTTTAATGTTATTACAAATTAATACTGAAGTTTTTTACTCCAAGCATTATACTTTCCTAGCCTGTGTACTTTGTGAAGAATGACTATGTCCCATCAAATGAAAATTAATACATATTTTGACAGGATAAAGATATTATGACTCAACATTTGCAAACGTTACCTGATGCACAACTTTTGTATGGCTTAACATGTTATTAACAGTACTTTAAACCTTATGTTCTTCTTTAATTCAATGCTTATGTCTGAAAATAGCCCCTTTCAAATTCAGTAATGCAGTAATGCAGTAATTCAAATGCAGTAACATCTTTAAAAGCAAACTTTAAACTTAATTTGCTGCACACATAATTATCCAAATAAGTTGCATAGTTTAAATAAGTTCATTTGTGCTTTGTAGCAGAACTCACAGTAATTACTCATCTCTTAAAAATACGATTTGTGGATGTGAAGTTGACGATACATTTAAGCATCTTTGTGACGTCTAGACATCAACGATATGAGTTTTTGTCACTCTTCCACTGACTTCTGCTGTTCATAATACCTCACCCTTACATTGATATTAGATCAGAGCATGGACATTTAATGGACACATCTGAAGTAATTATAAACACAATTTTTAAAACTCCGTTGTCAGGAGGGGAGAAATAAGAACTTGGGTTGGTTTGAGGTATCCAGCCCTCAGGAACATACTATGGTTGTTTGCATTAAGCTTTGTTGGTTTTACCACATGTTACATTTAGATTAAAAATAGAAGGCACAGGTGTTTTACAAGGCGCCGTAATTAAGTCAACCAACAAAACTAAATATTACATTACCAAGCCAGGGGTCTATATCTCAGCAGTGACTTCCTCCAACGCATTTTCATTTGAGGAATTTATTGCTTCTGAAAAAGGGCCGGAGTATGTCTGTGCTACGCAGTTCATTCCTTGTGCCACGCTGATGTCTCCTCGGGAACTGAAGGTAGGGCAGGATCTAGTCCGTGCATAGTTTTGTTGGGGTCCAGCTTGGCCAACCATCTCACTCACAGTGTTCACCGGCGAAGCCCTCCATCTCCGTCTCTGCAGTTGCTCTTCTTTACACTTAATGGAGTACCAGGCCAGGAAAATAAAAAAGAATCCCACAAACTTGAGAGCAGCTGCCAACCCAAAGTAGACAAAACGAAACGAGGTGACGTCATATTCCCAACAAGATCCTTGTACGCCGCAATCCTGTTGCCAAAGCATGCACGTGGTGTCAATAACAGCCCCAAAATAAATTGGAGTGGGAATGTAAGCTGAAATAAAAATAGCAACAGAAATAATACGTGTTAGCATATAGTGGAAGACTTCTAGAGAAACTATATGCCTTAGACAAACAGGTGGAGTTTGCAAAGTTTTGAGATTTCTACACTGCTGTTCTCACATGTAATGTAAAACGTGGTCAGCCGATCTTCCCACCAACACTACTTATCCCACACATGAAACGTACCACAAATGGGAAAGAATTCAAGCAAAGAAGTCAATGCCGCAGCACCTTACAACAGGTACTGCTTCAATCTGCCATCCCCAGAAAGCTCTTCTTGAGCCACAAGTCCCCCAAAATAAAATTCAACATTGCTCTCAGGAAACAAAATACAGGAGAGGAACAAAATATGACGTTATCTCCAGAGCGTCACTTGAACATCCATTGCCCAGGAGCTGGGAAAGAAAATAGATTAAGGAGAAAAAGCCCCAAAGTCGGCAAAATGTTTCTCTTACTGAAGACGGATGGAAGAGGTGAGACCACTAAAATTGTAAATTTTCTTTTGAATAGATCTTCCTCAGAAACAGGATGGAAAGTTAAGAAACTTAACTTCTAAGGCTGCTAAAAATGCAGCCAGTCCATTGAATGCTCCTGCTTTCTCCAGAAATACGACATCTTTAAGACAAGTCAGAAACATTCTTCTTCAAAGAAAACTTCCGGATGCGGGCTCTTCCTCTTGTTCTCTAGAACAGTCCTTGCTTCCTCTAGTCGTATGTTTCGTAGTACCTGAACACTTGCAGTGTTCTTTATAGGCAAGATAGAAGTTCAAGAGCTTGAAAGAAACTACTTTGTGGGATAAAGACTTTTAACATGTACCCTTTTTGCTTTGAAACATTTGAACTTAGACATTAAGTAACAATTGCTTCTTATTTTAAAAATGCAAAAAGCTATTGTTACTGCTGAAAGCAATAAAAATCTGTTTCTAAAAAAGAAAAAATCCTTATAAAATAATATTTAGTAACTGTTCATTTTTAAATAAAATTTGAAACTGTAAAAATACCTCTGGGGCAAAAATGTTCTAGAAAGTCAGTAACAAAAAAAAAAAAGAAAATTAAATACATTCTCAGTTACTACGTTTTCAGAAGCTATTAATTTTAGGTTCCTAATACAATTAGTCAGGCAATTAGTTGCAGATTTATGGAATTTTAGTACTTTTATGGTACATTTAAGCCGAACATGGTGAGCTGTTATGGAAATGCTGAGTACCTGTAAGACTTACCAAGAGTTCGTAATAAAACAAACTGCATTCCTAGTGCAAAGGGCCGCTCCCCATCTTCCACAGACCTAGCAGGTGAAAAGAAAACTTCTCTGAAGAAACAGTCATAACAGATAATCGTTGTGGTATGTTCTGGTTCTACCTCCTGGCTTTTTTCTGAGCTATAAAAAGTCTTTGTCTAAATTTCTTCCATTTAGCTTCTAACATTGTTAACTCTTATTGCTAGGAAAAAATACAGCCAGCCCCTCCTGTCCCTGTTTAAACAAAATCTCAATCACGCCTTTTAACCTTTCTTTACCTGTGTAAAGCCTGAAGAATGTGACCCAAAACCATTAAGGAAACCCATCCAAAATATTTATGGCTTCTCATGATAATTTCCTATTATTTCGCATAATGTCTTGTTTTATTTTCTTAATCTTTTTCCGATAAATTAGAATTAATGGAGAATTAAGCTGCTGAAAGCTGGACTCAGCTTCTGAATTTAACAGATCTCTGTGTAGCATAAGCACTTTAGAGCTACTTTAGGAAAAATATCAGTAGAAACATCCAAACAGTCTTTTTAAACACTGTTCCTTTTCAACACAAGTAATACAAGATTTCTTCCATTAGTTTCAAAGGAAAAATGTCAAGCTTTCAAAAGACTAAATACAAAGTAATGATATGCCACAATGCAACTACAATTTTAGTAAACCACAAATTTTCTTCTGATTTTAAAAATATTTTTAAATCTTAACCTAAAGGTCTGAAATTAAGATAGGCAGCTTCTAATGACATTGAAATATAAGATAAAAACACACAAAAAGACTGCAGTCAAAGGGGTGCAGCTGTAAAATCAAGGTTTTGAAGTCAAGCACTCACTCAGAAATTGAGAAATCGGAGAACCAACTTGGGCCACAAATCGGACCGATGTGCTGTGCACAATATGTGGTTTGGGACAGCGGGTGTCACTGTTCAAGTCTGTGGGCCATCTTTTTTTTTACTGAACGTTACAAAATCCTGCTGGAGATGTCCCTTATGAACCTCACTATTGTGATGCTCACTGCAGTATTAGTGTTCATTGACTGTAGTTTACCTTTGCACAATTGCAGTGCAATGATAACGGTTTTTATTACTATTATTGTACGTGTGGAAAACCCGGAGACATGAGGAAAACGGTCAGAAGCCTCTGAATTACAACGGCGCTGTGCACACCATAGTTAAACTAAGGCTGCATGAGCAACTGGAAGTCTGACATGCCCACTCCCAAGCGCTTGGCTTCACAGTCCTAACAGTGATCCTTTTACCCATTTTGTAGATTTTTTGAAAAGCAAACTGGAAGACAAATTCCACCACAGGACACGGCACAGTCCTCCACGTGTCAGCAGCAGACTCCTGCACAAACCTCAGCCACTTGAGCTGAGAAAATGACAGCAAGAGAGTGCTTGTCCTTGCTGGGGATGAGACACAGATGCTTGCCAGAGGGTTTCAGATCCATGCTCATGGCTGAGCCTAAGGAGAGCAAAGCCAAGTCTTGATCTGTCTCATGTTTTCTAAGGCTCCATGACCTATTACAAAGATTTGCCATTATTATTTTTATATGGCGCTAATTGTGAGCAGCAGCAGAACATTAGTACTCTCAGAATATCAGAGTGAAGATATAAAGGCAACACTACCAGGATAAAATCCCACTTGGCTGGAAGGACCATTCTTGCAGAAACAAAAGGCCTAAGACTAGCTTAAAAAAGCTCAATTTGGAGAGAGATTTTACACAAAACCGGGTCAAAAGGTGTCTCTGTGTTAGCAATTAACGCAGCTCAAAAGAAGCAGATTTATACAGCTAAACAGCTGTGCTGAGGACCTGACATCTACACCACAAGTATTTCAGGTTTGTTGGGATTTACTTCAGATCAGCTCTTACCTGGTCCCAGGGACTGAATGCCCATTTTCATCTGGATCATTTTGGGTGTGTTTCTGAAGAGCATCTCAAACACTGAAACAGGCTTCCTAGAGAGGTGGTCGATGCCCCATGCCTGTCAGTGTTTGGACAATGCCCTTAATAACAGGCCTTAATTTTTGGTCAGCCCTGAAGTGGTCAGGCAGTTGGACTAGACGATCATAGTAGATCCCTTCCAACTGAACAATTCTGTTCTATTCTATTCTAATTTTTCCTATCTTCCAGCTCATCTCCATCCAAAAGAAACTTGCTTCTTGACTCTAGAGAGCTCTTCAGCTTCAGATTCCAAACCAAATCGACATCCTTAAACCATTCTCTTTGTCCTTTAGTTACCACTAGAACCAATACCTATGGGTGTGCTTTGTAAATCCTAGTAAATAAATTATCTCATTTCCCTCTAATTCTTCCTCCTCCTAACAACAGCAACATATATTATACAAATACAAATTTATTTTAGCAGTAGACTATATTCTGTTTTTTCAGCTCACTGTTCTTTAAAAATCAGACTGAAATTCACTTACAGAAGCTGTATTTTAAATAGACAAAGATGTTACAGGGAGTGATAATGTTTATCAGACCAGATGGCAGAGATGGGAAAAGCCAATCCAAAAACCTGAACACTTTTTTCAAATGGACAAATAAATGACACTACCTTTCCAGTTGTTCTCTATCCTTAAATGACCACAGTGACAACAACATTACAAGCTCAAAATTCTTGTGAAGAAAAAAGGGAAGATTCAGACATGTGGCAGGAAGGAACAATTTTAAAAAAGAGAAAAGGATAATTTTAAATACTAATTTTTTTCATTTGCATTTGAAAATCCAAACCATTTCTCCAAGAAGGTTGAAAATTTCTTCAGGAGTAATCATTTTCTTACGTGATGCTTTTACTTGTTCTTTCTTTATAGTGCCTGGAAATCGCTGGGAACTTCATGTTTCCTCATGTGGATTATCATGTTACATATGCTAAATACAAGCAAGTTCCACCCTATCCATGTCAGCCCTACTCTATTCACTTTTTAAAGATACATAAGCTTGAAGGAGTTTGGCTGCATTGCTCCAGCCTCTTCTGACACAGGCACTGGTGACAGCGGGCACAGCAAAAATACTTCAAAAACCGTAACTGAGTTCTCACCTGAGCGTCACTATGATTGCTGATGGCTGGGCGCACGCTGTTATAAGGGTAACAATGAAGAGAAATATCAGGAACGGGATAAGCGTGTTGCAGGTTCGATCACACTTCCCAGACACAGCATAGCCGTTCTCATTCAGGTAGGTTTTGACAATAACCAGCCGGAGCTGACTGCGCTGGCCCACCGTCGGCGGAGTGATCACCTGGCGACTCTGGACACAAGCACATTCTGTGTAATTTCTTACCTGGGGAGAGTGAAAAAGAAGATTTCCACATGAAAAACCCGGGTGAGAAAGACACTGCGCAGAGACACGGTACAACTGTCCCATGGCACTTCTCAGTCTCTAGCATCATTACCCCAAGTACAAGCGAGGTTACCACTCCAAGTATTTTTAAAGCTGGCCAGGACTTCCCGTGATGAGAGGTTACTTACGACTTCCACTGTTTAGGCTGAGTTTAGAAAAAATTCTGGAATATTTTTGGAAAATTCTGCTGAAACAATTCAATCACTTCTGACAGGGAGGCTGGAGAAAAAGATTGTTTCTCCTGTATTACAAAAACTGTGAGGAAACACTGTTTAAGCAACACTGACAATGCCATATTCTGGAATTTGGCAGGCCGTCAGCATCCATCTTCAGGAGGTGTCTTCTGCCATCTCTATGAAAGTCTCCCCAGGTTTGGCTAAAGAGCAACAAGTTGCACTTCATGCTTGGAGCCCAGGACCTTCCAGCTGGACGTGAATGTGGATGTGGATGGGAAAACCAGAGAATAAGAAGAAAGCAGAGACTTAAACAGTGAGACTGAAGGACATGAGGGATTCCTGAATGGACAAAGAGGCTGAAATTACGATGAACAGACTGAATAACAAAGTGGCATATCATAGGCAAAGGGACCGTGATTTGAGCAAGGTGAGGAAGAGCTAGATCAGAAATAGCCTCCCATCACATTAATCTACTACTGTTTTCAACTGCTCTAACAGTGAAGGGGTGTGTGGCAGATCAGAATACTTCAGCTTTAGAAGGGAAACAGGTCAGGGCTCATGTGATGTTACAGGAAGGAGTTTTTGGTTTCGATGTTGGCGTTCATAAAAACTAGGACCGCACATGTACAGAAGCTACATTACAAGACCATCTTATGGTTGCAAATTTAAGCACTTGGACATCAGGAAATATCCAAATTAAGGTTGTTTGTCAACTTTAATATATACCTCTGTATGTGTTCGCATTATGACATAGCCTCACTTTTTTTTTCCATAGGATTTAGCTGAACGTCTTAATAATGTATCAATTTATCCAGTATTTTACCTCCCATTTTCAAAATGTGGCTCCAGGTATTTTTTTCCTCACACTAAACATATTCCACTACAAAGACAGAATGACTCATATTTCATATGGATTTTTCTATCACACTCATCCTTATAGCATAACTCTTTCAAAAAGGAGTAATTTATCTTCAAAACAGTTATGAGATGAGGCACTGATGTTGTTATCTCTATTTTGTAGCTAAGTAACTGAAACAGATCAAAAGTTTCACAAATGTGGGTGGCAAATTTGAGACAGCCGGGATCCTTTTTTTCAGAACATTTTCCATTACATACAACTTAATATATTCTAAATGGAACTTTTTGTGCCTTCAGATACAGATTTAGGCACTCAGTGCTTCTACAAATGGTACTTCTGGTTATTGCTCATGCCCATCATCCAGAATATGAAGAATACAAAATTAATGACCAACTGGGAGAGGTTTCGTTTTAGTGACTTGCCCAACATCGCTTAGGAAAGGAGGCAATGACAGAATCCAGTTTCCCAAGGCAGCACTACACTGTCCTGTCTAATATCACATGAGTATTTGCTTTCTTCCTACAGTCCCTCACCTTAATCTCCTTACAGCTTCCAAACAGGCATCCTACAGAAAATAGTCCTCTTTACTACACAGTCTTGGTTCATCACTGGATAAACCAAGTCTGTGCACAAAAAGACACAGATAGGACACAATAGAAATGCTAGAGTATAGGAATATATATAAAATAGGTATGAACTGTACACAGGCATCCTTTTCTCCTACTTCCAATTTTTAAGTGGTTAATTTTGAAAAAACTGTATGTTATAAACTTAAATCCAATTGTTTTAAGTTAGCAACATTTTGGGTGTTACAGAGTGACACAAGCTTACTCTTGTTGGTTTTAAAAGTGCCCTATGTATTTTCCTAACAAGGTCAGGAATATTCTATTCACCATTAGCTGCTGAGTTAAAACTTCACGCCATGAAGGATCTTTTCTTAAACCATAAGAGAAAATAGTATGTTTCAAAATCTGTAGTGAAGAGTACATACTCCCAAAGTACCTCCCAACTAAATGAGTTATTAGTGCCAGTTTGATACCAGGTGAAATGTAGCAAAGATCAAACCTATGTCTCAATCCAGCAAAGCACAAATAAGATTTATATAGACACTGAAAGTTAACCACAGGCTCACATCACAGGCTTTTTGCATCGGGCCAAAGCAATTTTCTATTAAAACCCAGCAAGATACTCTAAAAAAAAAGAAAATAAAGCAAATTAATCTGTTCTAAGTGGAATCTACGTACGAACCTGCATTTGCAGACCATTATCCAGTCAAACCTGAGAAAGCACAGCGCTGGACCTAACATCCTCCTGCTTCGCAGGCTGGCTCAGGACTGCAAATCAGGAGGCTGATACATTATAAATAAGCTTTCTGGAAAGCACAATCAGGTCCTGAGAAAATCAATGTTTACATTACTTCCTGTCTTTCTTAATTATCCTTTTTTAAATGACTGTTCTATAACAGAAGAATTTAAGAGTTTGGATTTTGTACAAAACAAGCACAACCGTAATGTTCTGTTGATATTTAGGTCAGATTCTACTTTTCAACTGTTTTCTTGTGTCCAGTCCTGGAAACTGCCAAATTTCCATGGTGTGATTTTACCAGCAGGCTGCCCTTCCCCAGTCCAGCATAACTGGAAGACTGGGCTAAAACAGGCAATGTATTTCCAAGAAAGAAAGCGGATTATTAACATCCTTTAAGTTCTGGTTACTTGAGTTCAATGAAAATCACTTCATTTAGCTTGGAGGAGGTTTAGAGAAAGGCTATGAGAATGGTCAAACCACTTTACAAGAGCAGAATAAACGGGCAGTCTTTATTTAGCCATGCAAACAAAAGACCTATCAATACACTGGTGCAGGTGCAACCGCTACTTATGCAAAATGACGAGGCTGGCACAAACACCAATGACTTTAAACAGGCCGTAACTAAATTTAAACAGGCATTTAAAACACTTCCAACTACCTGAAGAGTTAAGTTCTTCCTTCTATTCAGAGAGGGAGCCAAAAAAACCCAAAACTGCTCTTCAGAGTAACACTGATGAGCTTGTGGAAAGACACTATGACATGGCTGCCTATGTTAGCAGAACGATGAATTAGACGACACGGACTCAAGGTCCCCTCTCTGAGCCCTGCAGGAGCAGCAGACAGGCAGGCCACGGCCATCAGGGACTTCAGAGTCTGTACTGGAAATGCCACCCTCCCCATCCCATGGCACTTTGCACTCACTCGGTTGGAGGATTCACTTGGTACAAATGAGCTTGTGCCTCAAATTTGTACATAACTGAAAGGAAGGGGAGTGGGACCGTGCATCACCAGCCTTTCAAAACATGGAAAGACTCATGCACGAGTCAGCAGCAGAGCAAGCTCTCCAGAGCTTAAGAGGGGGGATGCTTGCGCTAGAATCAGAGCATTCTTCGATCTGCATTAGTCCCGAGGGGCTACTCACGGGTTGTATGCGGGTGGGTGGGTGGGTGAAGCACTTACCCCTGTGCTATGGTTTCCACCATTGATGCAGCCAGCTAGGCAAGGATTAAAATACGTTATTCCATCTGATCCACAGACAGGCTCGTACTCATGAATCTTACATCCACAGTTAACATTACAGCTCCCAGTCAGATTCCTGTGGGCCATGGCAAGAGTGGGACTGAAGAAAGGAAAAAGAACATGCTAGTAAAGCAAGCACAGATACCCTGCTGTTCAGAGGGAGAAAACATCCTACTCATTAACTCTGGAACTGAGAGCTGATTATCAGAGAAACACTGCATTAACTCTAGGTTAGGTACATGATTTAAACAACACAGAAGAACACGCACAGCACAGCCGTCAACTAAAAACACAATATAAAAATAATAACAAAGTTTAAAACTTGTATCTTATTTGCCCAGGTAATAGCTCTATTTTTCCCCTGTTTTTTTTCTTTAAGACACCACTATTTTATATGTCTAACCTAAGCTGCAGCAATTTGTTGTTGATTACTAGTGAAGGGCTCAGTTACGAGATGAAAGCATTATGTGAACTAATAGGCATCTCTTCCCACATACCAAGAACTGTTCAGAAAACTTAATGTATTATTTATATGTATATGTGAAATCTACAGGAATCTCTCTAGATCTGGAGGAGTGCTGTGCTGTTACTAAATGTCTGTAAAAGAACCACTACTCCACTTCCCTGGACCATTCCCCAAAATCTTGCCAAAGCCCAGCTTTCTAGGTCCTCCCCAGAAGGGTTTGGTGGTATGCTCAGAAGGAACTAAAGGGAATTTCAAAGCTGAAGGACACACACCCCAAAAAGCAGGCTCTTCACTATCTACCACTGCGGCTCCAAACAGGTGGTTGAACAGATCTCGACTGCCACAGCAGGGAACGGCATTAACTCCTCCCTGGCAAGTGCCCGGCCAGCCTGGGCACGTCTTCACCATGGGATGAATGCGCAAAGGGACCCCAAGACGACAGGGAAAAAAAAAACACTGATGAAAGGGTGCTTTTTGCTATCAGTAGAAAGAAATCAACTTTGGTTACAACTGACCACCGGCTGTCACCATCACAGGTTTTGACTCAGGTTGACTAAGTCACACAGTCACCAAATTAACTAGCTCCTGCCTTACCCACCATATCACTTCATCCCTGCCCGAAACAACTCTCAGGTCACTTAAAAATGCCCAGCTTTGGGCACAAACCCTGGAGGAGACACCCAGCTACTCCCTGTGCTGAAGGAGAGCCCAAGGTGACACTGGACTTGTAACATTCCTGGGTAGGGTAAGGGCTTGGAGTACAAAACAAAGCAGGAAAAGTGTTAGCAGACACAAAGGCAACTCACTGAAAAAAAAACCAGTAAAAACCCCTACATAACTGTATATACAAATACTGATTATAGAGAAACAGAGAGAGTTAAAATGAAAGAGTTAAAGAAAGAGGAAATGGATACTAGTTTGTTTGTTCCCAAATTAAAAACAGACTGGCATAACTGGACCCAGTGTATATAAAGCTAATATCAGAGGATGTAAGGTGTCAATCTCTATTACCTAGAAGCTCCTCATTAATGAGGAAGTAGCTGATGATCATATATTTTTCTAACAAATAACTGGTCTGAAAAGCCATTTACTTTGAATAGGCATATTTTCTTGAAAACCTCAGACTAGTTCATAAAGAGCTACTATACTACCTTTGGCCCTTTCAGTTACTGGGATTGCTCAGACAAGTTTTGTAGCATTGCTTTTTTTCCTTAAAGACTAATTGAAAACTTATTTTTGTAATGTACATTTTCTGTGAAAACCTTTAGAAACACATGAAAATGGCTGTTGAGACCACGGTTGTCTCTTCACCAGTATCCTGTCTCTAACAGTAGCCATAAGAAGATGACTAGGAAAGAGCAAGAACAGGGCAAGTAACTTCCCCCAGAAAAGTATTCTCTCAGCCTCTAACGAGTCTCAGCCCAAAATATTTTCTAAGTCTGATGTGTTTTTTTAGTTAATAAACCCCAATTTTTTTCCCTGTACTTCTCCCCTTGAGATTAAATTTTTTGCATCTACAATATCCAACAGCAAGGATTTTTCGACAGTCCACAGCCTGTTACACAAGCTGTTGTCTGTTTTGAATCTGGCTTTTACTAGCTTTATCTGACAGCCCCCACTTCTACTACCTTGCTTGTAAATTGTGAACACATGAAGGCTCCTGAAAAAATAAACTTAAGGGGTTCCTGTGGCCAACATGAAAATATTTGCAAGCTCTAGTGAAATCTTACAGTTGCAATTAAATAAACCACATCTAATATTAACTAATCTAATCTAATCACATCTAGTATTACCTGAAGGCATTATGCCAGAAGGTACCTAAAGGTATAAGCATAAAGTTTTACCTTTTATCCATGCTATTACTGAACATGCTAGCTCAGGTACCAAAAAGAAAATAACTGTTCCGCTTAGATATATATGCAGACACACCTTGAAATATAAGTGATTTTCTGCTGTCATTATACAGCCAAATTATAACAAGCATGAACTTTTAAATGGCCCATATTATACCTATTCTTACTACACTTGCCATGCTCTCTGTCTTGTTTCAGGTTGCTAAATTAATTTAATAAGTGGAAAAGCAAAAGTCTGCAGTGTGGTTTACTGCTGGTTCAATTTTCTGCATCTCCTTTGGAATTTCATCTGGGTTTAAAATACTGCCAGCAACATGAATGCATTAAGCCAACGGAAAAGTTACGTGAATGACTTTATTCATACCAATCTATTTCCAAGTGATAGGGTTGGCTGAGGCTAGGGATCCTACCTCTTATTTCCTAAATACCTTTCTGTCTAAAGAAATCACGGTCCCTGAATTCTGCACCCGTGTTCCTTCTTCACTGCATAAGGTGATAATAAGCCACTGAAAACTGAAAAGCAGCTGATACCAACATTTTCACCTGAAGCTTCTCCTGTTACTTCGGAAAACCCCCATTTTATTATGTTTTCAGGAACTGCAAACTATAGTTTCCTGTGACGCTTAAATAGCTTTCTTTTTCTGGGGTTTACTCTTAAGTGTAAGTCTTACTTTCTGTCATAGCTGTAGACTAGGCTAGCAAATGCTATTTTGTGTCTCAAAGTACCCAAATGTTAGGCACTGCAATATTCAGTACTGCAATACACAAGTTTTTCTGAAGATACATGGCCAGTTTCAAACCACGTACTTTATGGGTTGTAATTTGCAACACCTAAACCTGAAAGTTTTCAGTCCTTCCAGGTGCCAAAATCAGAAAGGCAGGTTCTGTAAGGAATCAAGACAGCTGCCACTTCTAAGATCTCCAAAAATTCAGAACATGGAAGTGAGGGCCTGATCTCCCTCCTATGACTTTTTGGCTGGCACCCTGGCCAGGGAAGGTGAGATGGGAGCTGAGGGTGATGGCAAGATCAGATCAGAATTGGGTCCAGATACAATGATCATAATGATCAGTCCAGTGATCATACAGCAAGACCAAAGGAAGGAGGGGCAGGCCCTTGCCTCCAGCTTTCTTCACAACAGCTCTTATCAGTCAGAGAGCTGACCCTGGACTCAGCCAGCTGAACTCCTTCACGCAGGTGACCAAGCTCCTGGAAGTGGGGGGGGACACGCTCTGCACCCTGACACTGTATAGAAATATCAGTGCCTACTGCAGACAGCTCAATGAGTTCCTATAGACGGAGCAAAAAGCTGCCCCTTTGTGCTGACAGCCTTCTCCAGAAACACTGTACTTCATCGACTTCTAACAGATCTTTTCTGAAGTGGAGGAGGAAGCTTACTCTTCTTCATCAGCTCTACAATTGCCCGAGGTGGGAACACTAGGGTTCCAGGTCCTCTTCAACCTGAAGGGGTTCAAACTTACATCTCTTTGATGATGTTCTAATCCAGAATGGCATCTCTTTCCATCATTC